CCCAGGGTAAACTGATAACATTTGTGGTATTTCCAAGGTATGTTCTTGGCCAGAAGGGACCTTAGCCTGGTTATCAGAAAGCCAACCAAATGCTAAATTTAATAAGTATGCTATGTCTAAATAATTAAGTCAATTTAAATTAAGCTTAAAAATAACCTTACTGAGTTCTTTCTAATCACAGGGCAAGTGTGGTTGTGAAAGCAGACAGGGAGAAGAAAATATAAATTTACTGTAGTCTTATTCAGGGGTGGCTGATGCTAACAGTTCAAGTTGTGTCTTTCAAGTTTGCATGTGAATGTGTCTGAAGAAAAACAGATCCAAACACAGCTTCTATGTTATGTGCTTCTTGTAACTTTGTTTTAACACAAGATGTACCATTCCCACAGCAGTAGTCATTCTTCTACAATATTAGCTAATTACGAAGGCTGACTTGTAATTTACATGTGGCTCCTCTACCATGAAACCTTTATGCTGTTAGTTAAATGCCCTCTACCCCCATTTCTGTCTTCCTTTGCCATCATGAGCAGTAGCATGATAAGCAGCCATGTGACCCTTGTCTCTGTAGACCAGCTGTCCTCAACCTTCTTAATGCTGTGACCCTTTAACACAGTTCTTCATGTGTGGTGACCCTACACAGCGTTATTTTTTTGCAACTTCATTTTCATTGCTTCATATTTTTGTACTTCATAATTGTAATTTTGCTAGTGTTGTGAACTGTAAAGTAAACATCTGTGTTTTCCAATGGTCCTGGGCGATCCCTGTGAAAGGGGATCGTGACCCACAGAGTAAGAACTGCTACAATAGACATTCCCAACCATTTCCTTTGAAAGACCTGGATTAATTAAAGTGTGGGTCAGGAAGGAGCCCATCCACACTCACACTCGGGTGTGTGCCTCACTTTCTGAGGTTCTCCCTTGAGAAGCCCACCTCCATGCTTGCAAGGGTGTCTTACTTTCTAGCATCTCTCTATCTCTTAACCCTCCTGCTTATGTCTGTATGAAGATATCTCTATTAAACCTGGACGGCTTCATAAAAACTAATGTGTAAAAGTAGTCGGCTCATGTTAAGAATTGCCTTCTAAGATTTCTGACGGTGTCTCACTGACCATGGATGAAAATGCCATTCGCCTGTGTCCTTGTCCATTCTGGGCACTGAGGTTTCATGTTTGCTAAGGCAAAATCAGCGATGGAGGCTGGATGCAGTGGCACACGCCTGTGACCCCAGTGCTTGGAAGGCTGAAGGATTAGGAGTTCAAGGCCACCCTCAGTTACGGGGTGTGCTGGAGGCCAGCTTGAGCTTATGGGAACTTGTGGCAAGACCAGAAGCAAAGGAGAAACAAAGACAGCCTCCTCTTGCATGTCCATGCTTACCTGGACACGCTCACACTGAGAACTCTCTGTGCGGTTATGGACCACCGTTTTTCTTGTAAGTTTCCTTTCCATAATTTCACCTGTTTCTGTTTTTACTTCTGTAAACTATTTTATTATTTGTGTGTGGAAGTCAGAGGAAAACTCCGAGGAGCAGTTTTCTCTCCCTCCATGTGGGACCCAGGGGTTGACTGGCAGGCGTGTAATTTTACCTGCAGAGCTACCGCACTAGCTCATTTTTCTACCTTGTTTTTTTTTTTAACACGCCTGACTTCAGCAGATACTTTTATACTAAGCTTTTTGACCCTATTTGATATGTCTTATAAATACTTTTCCTTTATTTCCTTTTCTTTTTTCTTTTTGTTGGGGCTGGTAACAGGAGAATTTAAAACTGTGTGCTTACACTATCAGTTTTTTCCTTGGTGCCCAGTCCCTTTTTGCTCAACATCTTTATCCACTGGGTAATTATGCAAACATTTACTTTTCTAGAAATTTTATATTTTCATGTCCACATTAAAGTTTTCAGGTCATCTGGATTTTGTTTAACTGTAAAGTGAAAGATAAAAATCAAATGTAATCATTTCTCTAATCAGCTGGCCAGCTGTTCCAGCACCATGACCTGAACGGTCATTTAATTTAACACTAAGTTCATACTGGAGTCTGGCTCAGCTCGGGGCTCTGCCTCATTGCTGGGGGCCAATTAATCCAGCCACACATTACTTGCATGCTCAGGACTTTTCTTTTTGTTCATCTTAAAGTCAGTTTGGGCAATTTCTGCATTTTACTTGGTTTAGTCTTACAGTTTATTCTTCCACATGAAGTATAAAATTATTTTGCTAACTTAAAAAGCTCCATGGGAATTTTCACTGGGATTGTACTAAAAAATCAATGTTAAGTTTAAAACAAGTGATATCTTTACAATGCTCATTTACTTCTCTGTTTAGTAAGAGTGCCACGGTCACTGGTAATCATGAAACAATGCCAGCAGCAGAGACTGGGCAACTGTCCTCGGCCATGCCTGTTATGAGTCCCACCTGCCACGCTAAGTCTGTTAACAGCCTATGACGCAGATGCTATTGTCATGAGCATTTCACAGAGAAAAACCAAGGCACAGAATGTTGAATAACTTGTTACAGTAACAACAGCTGGAGGGGACTGAGCCAGGACCCTGGTGTCTGTCTCCAGATACTGCACTGTATCGGGAGCCTAGACCATGTATTTATTCTCATTTTCTTTATATTCTTCAAAAGATTCTTATATGCCACTCATATGCCATTTTTGCATGTTTGTATAAATTGTTCTCAATAGGTTTTGTTTGTGACATTTTCCCTGAATATTTTTATTTAAAAAAGTTTTTATTTATTTATTTTTATATGTACATGTTGGAGGGGGGGATTGTGGGGTTTGATGCCCTGGAATTGGAGTTACAGATGGTTGTGAGCCACCTAATGTGGTGCTGGGAACTGCACTCAGGTCTTCTGGAAGAATAGACAGTGCTCTTAACTGCTGAGCCATCGTTCCAATCCCCTGTAATAATTTCTAATGGTTGCTGTTGAACTCTGGACAAGGGCATCAAAAAAAGTCGAATTGTGCCAGGCGGTGGTGGCACACGCCTTTAATCCCAGCACTCAGGAGACTCGGGAGGCAGAGGCAGGAGGATCTCTGTGAATTCGAGGCCGGGCTGGACCGACAGCCTCCAAAACAATACAGAGAAACCCTGTCTTGTAAAAACCAAAAAAAAGTCGAATTGTTTATAACTGGGGATAGTGTGGTTAGGGTGGACACAAGCAGAGAATAATGATGGGTATGAAAAATGTCCCAATGAAGCCCATTATTTTGTATGTTAACTAAAAAATTAATTGAAAATTAGAAAAAAATAACTGAGGTGCCAATTCTGAAATATTAAGTTCAATGACTCCCTTACTGTCTAGCAATACTGTCTGGCAATAAACTAACAAGCCTAGTCTTTTAGGAATGCAAGATCATTCCAAAGCATTTGAAAGTGCTGGTGTTATCATTAGGTCCTCATGTCTTTAATGATGTCACGGCATTGTCTAATGTGGCAGAGATGGGCCATGTGCAGCTTTGAACACTTAAACAAAACCAAGTGAAATTAAAATTGAGTTTCTCAATCACACTAGCCAGGTTTCAAGAACCAAGAGCCACCTTCTGCATGTGGGAACCACATCGGTTAGCTCTTCAGAACATTCCCACCATTTACAAGATGGTGACATTAGAACCATCAATTGGCAAGTGCTGGCTGCAGGGTGGGTCTGACTGCGTGTTGTGTGCCCTCCTGTAAGACACACACACACACACACACACACACACACACACACACACACACACACACACACACGGTTTGCTCCACAGAGGCAAGTTCAAAGACTGGAAATCCTCAGAGCTTTTGACTTCTTGGGGTTTGGGCTCTGAAGAGAAAGTGGGGATTTACAGCGGTTGAGAAGAAGCTTCCACATTGTGCCTGCTCAGGGACACTGGAAAATGGTTTCAAACAGCACACGCATCTTAGACATTAATAAAGCTAACTGAATGTTTTCAGTGTTTGATATTATCCCAAGCCAGAAATTCCAGATGTCTGTGAGGAAGCCACCACTTGTGTTTAAACTATCAAGAGGGTTTCAAAGTTGTCAAGGAGAGAAAAAAAGGTGTGTCCTTCAATTTTCCTAATTTGAAAACAGGTTCAGACCTCCGGTCTTCTGGGGCTCTAAGGAGAAACTCCAGAGTGAGCCGTGAGCTGCCTGTGGGTAGGGGTCTGCCTTCCTTCCCTCCTAAGCCTCTGGGCTGCAGAGCAGAAAGGATAAAGCCGGGGAGGGCGCAGCACGATGGAAAATGTAGCAGAGTGTGGCTGTTGTTTATCACCGCAGACAGGGAGCCAGTAATTGTCCATGTGATGGACGCCAGATGCAAATAATAACCAGGCTGCCGCCATCTGCCTTTCTGGAACCAGACCTCCCATCTCTCCTGGACAGCCAGAGTCACACGTCTTTAAATTCAGATCTTGCCTGCTGCAAACGTCTCCCGGAGGTTCCACTGCTATGGCAGTTCATTTTCTCTTATGAAATGCGTTTAGTTTTAGTTCCATCGTCCTTATTTCATGTAAAGTACTCACCACAGTGAGAGTTTCTTGACGACTCTAAACAAGAACCTTCCAGATTGAAGAAAGTTCCAGAATCCACACATGCAAGCCCAGGATTCTGGTTTTTGCTTTATTCAGGATTAATCACTTTAGAGCATCTTGTTTTCATTCTTACCTCAGAATCTCTAGTGCTTTGCTGAGAAGCCTGAAGTTCCACAGGTCCTAACTAAGCAGGGCCTACAGGGAGTGAGGGACTTGGTAGACCATAGGAAGGAAACAGGCCCTCCCTGCCTCTTTAGGGCTGGTTCTGTGCTGGGGGACACGGAAAGCTCTTGTCAAGGATTGTCCTGATCCCCAAGCCGAGTGTCCTTGGACTGTTCCTACCCAGTGGAGTCCAGACTCAGGTCAGAAGCAAGAGCATCAACAGGAGCATCTGTTCCTCACTGGAGGCCTCACTAGCACCGAACAATTCTCTGAGGACCACTGTAAGTGGCTATGCTGGTACCCCCCCCCCACACACTATCACCAGGACTTACTGAGTGTGACTGAGTCATTGATCTTGAAGCTGCAGAGGACCCTGTCCACGTTTCGGGCGTGTCGGAAGCCATTTCCTCTTACAACCACTTGAAAAGACTCTGAAACGGGGAAGAAAGGCGCACGTTACTTGATCATTACCCATGTGTGAATTTGCTTTCTGTTCACTACAGAACCTGTGGCGGCTGTTTCCATAGGCTTCAGAATGCCAGGAATGAGAGCAACCCTTAGGCTCCTTTCCACTCGCTGGCTCCTTCTCTCCGATGTCATCAGGGAAGACTCGAGGTTTCCTGCTCAGAACTGCCTCTCCCGACTTTTGCTCCTGCCTGCAATGTCTTCCTCCCCTCTCTATTCAGATCTTACCCACTTTTCAAGTCTAGACAGTTCTAAAACAGCCAGAGGGGACCCAGGGAAGGGTCTTCCACTTCCTCCCCACATCCCTCCTTCAGTCTGATTTTCATTTTGGAACCTCCTGAAAGAATTTTTTTTAGGCCAAGATGCCGCATAAACTTTAGGAACTATGGGCCGTGGCACTCAGAGCCTACGGGGAATCACTGCTGGGCGTGCAGCCTCGTAGCGTCTGGTAGTGTCCTTCTGTCTTTCTCCCTCACCCAGGAAAGTATTCCTTTAGTTAGTAGTGGTGTGACACTTTTGCAGCTTTCCTCTCTCCCGGGTGCACCGCTGTCCTGTGTAGCATGGTGCCCGAGTCACTGTACTCAGCTACAGCGCTCTGTGGAGGTCAGATGTCATGCTTGAACTGACACTGGGCCTTCAGGGCAGGGCCATTTTTCTATGACTAGGAAACACCTCAGGGGCTTGCATATCAACTGCACACTGGTAGAATGTAAGTCCAGTTGTTAGTATGCATGACTGACATTATTATAGGTTTAAAAACTCTTCATTATATTGTCCTACCAAGGAAAAAAGTCAATCAGTGAAATGCTTAAGAATGCCTACTTATGTTTGGTGATATCAAGTGATTCATTCTGTTTATCTACTTTTATTTATGTGAGTCTATGTGTAAGGACTCAGGCATTGTGCTGGCCTGACCCCACACCTGGCAGAATATACCCAGGCAGTACCCTGGTCAGCAGGCAGGTACAAAGGATCCCTTTAAAAGAAAGATCCCCACCCACTTACCACCCCCTGCTGTTCCCCTGGGGCCAACAGGACTTTTCCTGTCTCCCTCTTCTCTCCTATCCTCTGTCTATCTCTGTGTCTCTGAGTCTCTTTCTCTCTTTTTCCTTTCCCCCTTTCCCTTTCTAACTTCTGTCTGCCTGGCATGTTTGTCCCCTGCCTTGGTCACCCTTGCCTGCCATGGAGTCCACCAAGGTTCCCCACTCGCTTTATCTAACACTGTGCTCCTGCCTACAGCGGCCGGAGGACAACCTTGGCATTTTTTTTCCCTCAGGAGCTGTCTACCTTGAGTTTTGAAGCAGGGTCACCTTTGACTTTAGGCTTGCTGAGTAGCCTGAGCTGGATGGCCAATGAGCCTCACCTGACTTTGCCTTCCAGCTGCTAAAATTTAATGTGTATGACACCATACTGTCTGAAAGGTTCTTATTTTCCTTCAACCTGTGTCCTGGGGATTGATCTCTAATCCAGAAGAAAAACTGCAGTGTTTGTGAAAGTGGATCTAAAGTAAAAACTATCCAAATCGAGACTTCACAGGATGGGGAATGGAAGAGCTCGCATATGGGACTCTTTCAAAGTTAAATGCCATGAGCTTATGTCACTTTCATTCCATGGAATTCAGAGACCTTGTTTGCCAAAGCTATAACTGATAGTTAATGGTCCCTCGTATGCCCGCCCAGTGGTGAGCGGTGTATGGATCTGATGTAATTTCCATCTCCCTGCAGGCCAGGGAGTGTAGCTGAGAAAGTGATCTCAGAGAGGTTATGTAACTCCTCAAGATCACACCAATAAAACCCTCAGACCTGATCTGGAATCCAGGGCAGTCAGTCAGGCGCCAAGGGCCACTAGCTTAGCTGTCATCCACTAATTGGCTGAAACAGAAAATGGACGCTCCCTGTGTTGTGACCTGGAGTCCTTTAGGAGCCCGGACTATGATTTCTTTAAAGTTCATCTTATCCTAATTTTGAACAGGTATGCTCATTTGTCATCCGTGTTGGGCTGACTTACGCACCAAACAAGAGACCAGCTGTGAGGAAGTCAGGAGTGCCATGGGTGGAGAGTACAGCTAGGAAGGAAGGCTTCAGAAGAACTGGGGCCGGAAGAGAAAGGGGATTAAGATTCTGACCTTTGGATGATTTGCCCAGGACCAGCAAAGCTGGACTGGTGTCCTCAGAGTCAGAACCTTGGTTGGGAACTTTATTAACCAATGTGGTTTCCCAGGGCTGCAGGCACGGCAGTGAGGATGTATACAAGCACGTTGATAGCTGCACACATTTGCTGAGTTTAGAGAACTGGGTTTAAAACCTTAGATGCTTCCCTCCCTGGCACATCTCTGATCCTCGGCAGGTTCGATGGGTGGGAAGATTCTCACTGCACTGCATTTCCTCAACAAAGCTTGGGGAAGCCTATCTTGTGTTTCCAGTTTGAACACCAGACATATAGACATCTGGTCCACACTTCGGCCGATTCCACATGTTTTCTGCCTTGCCTTTGCCCCCCCCCACCCCCTGCTTTCCTCACAGATCAGCAAAGAGAGTGGGGATGCTGGAAACAGGCTGCATGCCAAGCTCTCTTCTCTAACACCATGTTCAGCACTGCCAGTTCAGCTGTTGAACCCTCTATAAAAGGAGCTCCCCACATGTCTGGTTGGCCCAGCTTCAGGAAGTTGAGGAAGGAAGACAGCAGGGACCCATGATGGGAACCAAATCATGCAACCACTTAGGCCTGGGGAGAAGATGCTGGAGTGAGAGGCAGGCTCTTACCCTGCCTGGCAAAATTTCCATGTCAGTACACACACTTGGTTTCCAGAACAGCTCAAACGTCTGACCCAGCAACCTCACTGAAATGTCAGATCCTTGTACAAAGAAGTTATGTAATCCAGCTCTGTATAAGGAATCTGTAGTAAGGAGGAACCAGGACATACCCCACCTAGGACATCTCACTCTAATGTCCCTTATCCCCAGAGTCCTACAATCTACCCTTCACAGCCTACATAGTTCAGTGCTACAGGAAATATGAATACAGGATCCTCTGCAGGATCCCAGCTCCTTCAGGAAGTTTCAGAATGGACTGTGGACCTTCAGGGACTGTGTGCAGTGGTCTTTGATTATTCTTTTGTGATATTTACCCTTTAAGGTATGCTTCCTCAAGACATTAATATCCTTGTGTAATTCTTCTCCCTAATGATAATTTAAGGTTCTTGATGACAGAAGTTAGCATTTCTATTTCTTCTAGATGCTTGCCTGTGCTAACCTGGAGTGGGGTTACCTCCATTTAAGCTCATTGGATGAACAATATGGGGAAAGGCAAACTTTTTGGCAATAATCTGGCAACTCCTCAAATTTTTAAATATGATTACTCCATGAACCAATCTTTCTGTTCCTAGCTATCTGTCCAAGAGAAATGAATACTCTGTCCACACAAAAACTTGCACAAGAACTAACAATAGCATTGTTCCTAAGAGCCTACAACGGAAACAGCTGATACCCATTAACTAATGAATAAGATTTCTCTACATAATAGAATATTACCTAACCATAAAAAGAGACCAAGTTCTGATGCATGTTGTGACACAGGAGCTATGCTAAATGAGAGAAGTTAGATGCAAAAAGCCTCACACGACAGGATTCTATTCTTGTGAAATGCCCAAGTTAGCAAAGACAGGAAGCAGATTAGAGGCTGCTGCGGTGGAGGATGGGAGTGACTGCCCACACTAGGTACAGTTTCTTTCTGGATGCTGAAAGCATTGTGGAATTAGGATGCTGCTGTGGTCACACAACACTGATATGTTAAAAAAAACAAATAAATTGTATTCTTTAAAAAAGTGAATTCCATAGTTTGTGAATTAAAAAGAGCAAAAAATAAAGGGTGTGGCAAACCTACTCCATCCTCTACTCTTTCCTTTTCTTTCTTCAGTTTTCTTTACTTTTGTGTTTTCAGTTAAAGCACATGTTTTCTGTCACTCACTGGACTGAAATAGAGACATCTGCATATGTTTCCCTTGCTCTGCTCTCTCAGCACTGCTGTGTCTGACTATGGTCAGGACTACTTCATCCTGTAAGTCAGTTCGTGTTTTCTCTCCTAATAAATGCTCATTGCACCATGTAACAAACTTTAGAACATTCTGATTTAGAACAAGGTCTGTGAGACATAACTGGCATTTGCTAGCATTTGACATGAGAGGCTCAGGAGAGCAGACGGGATGGTGACCTCTTGGCCACCATCAACGTTCCCCTCTGTTGCCTTTGACTTCTCTCTCTGTTCCTCCTTCTGTCTCAGGAACTGCTGGTCTGCTCTCTAATAAAGCATCAGTTAGAACTTTCTAGAAATTCATGGGAATGGAATCACACAAACAAGCTGTTTTTCTTGGTGCTTCCATTAGTGTAGTTAAGGTTTGCCTGTAATTACTTTGAGGTTCACACAGGTTTGTTTCAGGGGTGAGTATTATTCCAACATACAGAAAACTTAAATATGCCCATTTACTTGCTCATGAATATGTGAGAGGTTTACAGCTTTGGGTCTATTAAAAATAGAGCCATATGAGCAACTATAATTAATTTTGGCTGGTCATAGATTTCACTTCCGTTTTTATTTTGGGTAAATGTCTAGGGATGACAAGGCTGGTCCATCTGGTCAGCGTATTTAATTTTTTGAGAAACTGGTTTTCACTGTGGGCTTCCTGCTGTGCATTTTCACCGACAGTATATGAGAGCTCTTCCAATCAGAACTATCTTAAATTAAGGGTGTGTGTGTCTAGAAGACCATGAAACATTCCATTCAGAAGAAGGCCTAGCAGCAAACACGAGTGCTTGCAAAACACTGAGAAGGTCAAGAAATGAAAACACTGCCTGACTTCTCCCGAATGAGTCTATTTCAAGCATCTACATTTCAACAGCAAATGTGAAGGCTTTTGTATGACTTGCTTTTGTATGAACCTTTCCTGCCTCATCAGAAGCAGTGGCAAACAGTGGGATACTCCAACTGCCTCTGAAATGTCGTGTGAGGGACTGAGTATGACTTCCTTTCTGGAAGTGCTGTTAAGGACTTTAAATGAAGACCAGATTTGATCCCAATCAGTTCTTGCCTGGAGTCCTTGCTTATGGAGCACGTGGTGAACTCTGAGTCTGAGGCCCATTGAGCTCAGCACACACAACATGTGTTTCCTAAACAGGAGTTCAGCTAGGTGGAGCCAGCCTATGGAAGGGTCAACTTTCCTAATTACACAGAGCCTGACATGCAAGGGTGTTTAATATGAACTTTTAAAGGAAGAAAGCAAAGCTATTTAAGTGAAGGTGGTGTCAAAGCTACCACACAGCAGGTGACTACTGTGTGCTTTGTAACAGGGACAAGTCAAAGCAACATGCTGAATGACCACCACATATTGGTCTGAGGTGGGGGTGACAACAGGGAATGGAAAGGGACTATAGAATGGGAGGGAATACGTGCATCTCAAGTCACTCATTCACAACAACAGTTACTCTGAGCAAATACAGCTCCACCGTCACTAGACTTGATTTTTCCAAGATAGTATGAAAATTGGAATCTTTAAGTATACTGGTGTTTTAGCATATTAACAATAACTGTATTTTTTTCAACTGCAGTGTGGATAAAAAAGAATGCATGTGACTGTCATTCAAAGCCTGCAGGCCAGCAGTTTCTGCCTCTGAGCCTGGTGGCATTCTGCAAAGGCTCTGCTCCCTTGATACTTTGACTAGTGATACACCTTTTAGTGACACGTACTTTCATTCTCCTGCATCAATGAAATCAGGTTCTCCCTAAACCTGCTTGTATATGAAGCTGGCTATTTGAGCCCAGATTCTTCCCTTAGTATTTATCCTGTGAGAACCTTATTCCTCTCCACACCCCGCTGCCTCACACAGTTCCTGACACTGGACAACCCACCCAGAGAATCTGGCAGATCTCGTGGGCCCTAGTACACATTAAGTTTATGTGTATAATTTTTCAAATTGTCTCCAACACCTTAGCGGTATCTGAGGAAGACTCTGGATAATTTGTTGAGTCTAGAATTATTGAGGAGGTTTTTTTTTCTATTGTCTAAATGGCTATTGCTTTTTAACTGTGTTTTGTTCTGGCTAAACAGATAAAAAAGTGTAAGACCCTCTTACAGTTGTATGGAAGGAGTTAAAAATGATCAAACATAGAAAAGTCAATGGTATTGTGTTTTAAAGGAATACATAAATGAAGACACTCATCAGATTTTATTGATTGCCTATTTAGTGCCAGGTGCTTTGCTAGGCAGGAGGACATGGAGAGCACTAAGGTGCTTAGGGGAAGGAGCTAATGGTTCTGGAGAATTGGAAAGTGCCCATCCCCTGCAGGCTTTCTGATGCTTTCTGATGCTTTCTGATGCTTTGCAGGGTTACTACACATCCAAGACTGCAAAGCCAAAGCCTGGTTTTCTTCATGCATGAGATAATTGCACAATCAAGGGACTTCCTTGTCTTCTAATTGCTCCAAAGTTCAGGATTACAAAAAACATATTGTATTCACACACGATACACGAAGTTTAAGTATTCTGCATAGTCCACTCCTTACGGGAAGCTCACAAAGCTCAGGAGTGACTGACCTTAAGTCAGTAAAGTCGAATCCAGCTTAGGCTCTGCCCTGCACAGGCCCTTTACATGGCCCTGGCATGAGTTCACCTGGTCATATCTGACAAATTTCTCTCCCCTGTGTTTTTGAATTATTAATTATATATATATATATGTATGTGTGTGTGTGTGTGTGTGTGTGTGTGTGTGCAACTGATATATTCTTGATATCCTTGGAATCTCATCAGAAGAGGGCATCAGACCCCCTGGAACTAGAGTTACAGATGTCTGTAAATCACCACGTGGTTGCTGGGAACCAGTGTCCTCTGCAAGAACAGTCAGTGCTCTTAACCCCTGAATGTCTCTCGGGGCCACCCACTTCTTTTTTCTTACAAGGTATGCAATGGAGCTCAGGCTGGCCTTGGATTGGCCATCCTTCTTCCTCGGCCTCCCAAGTGATGGGATTGTACATGTGAATTACTACACCAGGCTTTCTCTGGAGATGTTCTCCTGGAGTGATACCTGTGGTGAACACATTCCCCTGCCATCTGTGTTGCCAAACAATAATTTATATGAACATAGGATGGAAATCTTTTCAAATTGCTTTTCTTTGGGAAATTAACACATGTCTCTGAATAGCCACCATGTATTTTGCTAACAACTTCACACACATGCGTATGTATACCTGTATGTATATATTCATGTATGCACATATGCATTAATATATATTCATGTATGCACATACACAAGCACATAGGTATGCAATAGGCATGCAATACATATGCACATACATATGCACAGATGTATGCACATATGCATGTACATATATATGCACAGAGGCATGCACATAGGCATTGAATCTCACTAACATGTTCATTTGTATTTATTGTGATGCTGATGCAGATTTAGTGTCTACCTTCTTGGCTATTTTCAATTGCTCTCAAATGCAATCAAGAATTGAGAAGGAAATCCTTGAGCAAGCCCCTCGATTATACCAGTGAAATATGCCACAAGCAAGCTCTTCCTGCAGGATCTACTGTCTCATCTGGGTTGGATGACATATTTCTGTTGATAATTAATGACTGGCATTTGGTGTTGAGAGAGGCTAAAGATGGAGCATTGACAGGGACTCAAAACAGTGAGTGACAGGAACTCACAGAGTCCATCCTTGTGTCTCCAGCACCCATCAATGTGCCTGGCCCTCTGCAGGTTAAAAAGACTATTAAAGGAAAGAAGACTGACACCTGTGTACGAGAGAAGCAAACGTTGAAGCCATAGGCAGGCCATTATAACACAAGGCTGGGCAAAGCCCCAGTTTTCATCGCTTGGAGATTATATTGTGACTCAAAGAAAAGGCTGCTCTCTAGACATGTCCTCCACTGATGATAAATTCTTTATTTATTTACTTATTTATTTATTAGGAGTACAGTGTTCTGCCTGCACATTGTAAGAAGGCGCCAGATCTCATTACAGATGGTTGTGAGGCACCATCTAGTTGTTGGGAATTGAACTCAGGACCTCTGGAAGAAGAGCTAGTGCTCTTAACCTCTGAGCTATCTCTCCAGCCCCCTGATGATAAATTCTAACAGACTTTACAATGATGCCTGGAGTTCTATACCACATTTTGTAAGTCCTGGTAGATGGAACAATTAAGATAAAGTAATATATGAAGCACACAGAATACTTAAGAGCAACATTTCAGGGGAGACCCAAGGCTAACTGTGACCTTCTGGTGTGATCTGGATTGTCACAAGGAAGGACAATTCTACCACTCACAGACAGGACAGTGTTGGGATCAGCCTTACGTCAAGGTATTTCCAGTATTTCTACACTTTCCTCATATTCATATCCCACAAGAGAAGGGGATTTCAACAGTTTAGTTCAGGTTTTCCAGCAACTGACATGTTTTTCCTCCCTTTTCCTTTCCCCACAGCAGATTTTATTAGCAATTTATAATTTTTTAAAGCATAACTGCCTTTTGCCCCACTCCTACTCCCATCCCCTTAAAGCAAATATAGACTTGAGCTAAAAAATACCACCTACTGGATGATAGCAATTAGCACTTAATTTCAACTTACCTCCTGCGCATATGGTAGATGGTTCAGCTGCTAGAATTTCGATGCAGGATTTCTTTAGAATCTAGGTGGAGAAGAAATAAAACAGTCAATGACGGGCTTGTTTTACTAAAAGAGAGAACTAAGACAGTGCTCTCAGATACAAGAAAGAGAAGTTCAAGGACATCAGAGTGCAGGAGAAACTGTGGGTGACACACTATTGTCAATGCCACACATTAATAAGCCAAGCTGTGTCAGGTACTGCTGAGAGCCCAAACAGACATAAAAACCATTCATTCACTTGGTCCTTCAGTACTTACTTTAGGTTTTTATTGAACCTATTATACAGGAGTCCCGTTTTGAACCAAGAGATTCAATATGGCATTACAAATGTTATCTCTACAATTCCTTCTCTGGGGGAGATGTGAGCATGTCAACAGTTGGGAGACCCTACCAAGAAGAATTCTCAAAGGAGGCATAGCTCATCTTGTGAAGATGGCCGCAGTTTTGCTCAGAGGATATAGCTTCTCACAACTAAATGTGACTTTCATGGGGCATAATAAACAATGGCCAGTCCTAGGTAGGACTAAAGCTAAAGGGGCAGCTGGTAGGGGACAAACCAGAGGGTTTATGGGGAGACATTTGTGGGGATAATATGCTAAGGGTTCCCAGAAAAGGCAGCTGAGCATGGGACTTTAACAGAGAGCAGTTGGCTCAGCAGGGGTACAGTTGGGGAAAGTAGGGAGCACAGTGGAAATACAGGGCACAAAAAGAGTGAACAGCAGAGAGGAGTAAGTGTGAGCACAGACATGGCTGGAGAGATATGGAATGGCCCTCTTGCCACAGGCATGGTGGTCACGCTGCTCAGAGTTCCTTTCATGGACAAAGTCTGGAAAGTTGACCTGGTGTGCTTTTCAGGTTGCATGTTTGCCTTGTTTACACGGAACATGTCCTCTAGCTGAGTCAGGCAGGACTGAAGGAGAGCCTGGGGAACTCTGAAGGCTCTGACTGGGTCATGGAAGCTTCTCTCCACCATCTACTCATTCTACCCCCCTGCTGAGTACTGACTAACACTTCAACCAAGTATTTTAAAGAAGTAGGGGCACTGATTTAATCTGTCAGTCAAATATGGTTGGGGTTTACTTAACATGAAAGCTGAGATGGCTCGGAGAGCTGGAATGTACCATTTCTGAACTTGTAAAAGGGTGTATGTTAAATCAACTAATGGTGTAATTAATAGAATTCAGTTTGTAAAAGACAGACGGAAGTGTCTTTTAGAACTGGGAGATGCCTATTTGTCTGCATGGATGTTTATTTAGGTAAACTTCTTATTCCAGCATACACAATCCACCCTCCCCAATATATGATCAAAAGGACAATAAATTACAGTTCAGAGAATGGACTCAAGGGTAAATGAATGAAAGATGGCATGAGGAGTGAGCTCAGGAAAGATGTGCAGGGAGGGGCTTATCTCCTGTAGCAATGGAGTCAGCGCCAAGCCTTCCAGTAGTAACGGCCGAAGAGGTACTCAAGAACCACTCAGTCCATGGAATAAAAGCACACCAGTTTCTCAAGAAAGACAATATTTACCCATTCCAGGGAGAAATCTGGGCGTCCTTAAAGAGCAGCAGTACAAAAGGAAATGAACAAACAAGCTTAAAATGTATCTGGAGAGCAGATGATAAAAAAGTTACTTAGATATGTTAGTTAGTTACAAGTGTGACTTCTAACAGTAAACATTACTTAGATACCTTAGTAGTTACAAGGGTGACTTTTAACAGTAAAATTGCTTAGGTATGTTAGTAGTTACAAGTGTGACTCTTAGGAAATGCTACACCTGCAAGTCATGAAAAGCAGCATTTCTTTGTCAACTTTATTTTTAATCATTCATTTATTCTCTTTTCCCCAACCCACACAGGTGTGGCCTCAGTGCCTCATCCCTGTTAATCCCTGCAGCGACCATGTAATGTTTTGGATGTCACATCTCTCTCTCATGCATCTCTGTTGGAGTTAGAAGTCCCTACATACCTGGTTCTGGACACTTCGTTTCAATGCTGAACTCTTAATTCCCCTTTGTCATCAGTGTGACTTGACATCAGGGACAACCCCAATTCTACATCTGGGGAACAGGCATGTGGCTTCCCCATCCTATGGTCCATCTATCTTAGGCCTAGTAGTATCCTAGAACAAGGTACTATCTTCCTCAGCTGGCACCCTACCTGAATGTAATGACTACCCTCCCCTACTATATACTGCTTGCTGGCTCTCCCACCTCCTGGATCACTTTACAAGTCTTCAGGGATAGATCTCCAAACAGACCACGTTTAAAGAGATGGAACAAATTCAAAGGGATGCCCCAGTAAACAGTGGCATCAGAACAACACAGAGCTGTGTTTGGATGTTTTGCAAAAATTCCTCAGATTTTCTCTAGAAAGTCATATCAATAATTTAATCATTCACAACTGAAGATCTATTTCAAAACAGTATAAGAATAAAGCCAAGTTATTGGGTCTGTCTTTTTTATCCCATTTTCCAAAACGAGTACATAACATGTCTGCTCATGTAAGTTCCTGAGTTTCCATCAACACTTGTAACCAATTGTAACATGTAATCAGAATTTGGTAAAAAGTAATTTCCATGAATCTTTGACTACAGACACACTAACAGGGTCTGTCATAATAAACACACACCTTATTATTTCCTTGAAGTGTCTGCAATTAGCTGATAACTCTAAGGAGCGTATAAAAGGCCAAAAAATGTCAGCCAAGCGCTGTGACCCAATCAAGTAAAAACACAGCTTTCCCAACCTTAATTTAAAACATCTGGAAGGGGCCATGACAGCCAGTAGAGTAAAATTCACCAGTTGGGAGATAGGCAGGGTTTGTTTTGGGATTATAGCTCCTGCTAGCTTGAAATCTCTGCTTTCAAAAGATAGGAAAGTCTTAATAGTACTGGTGGCTCTTGGGGGTGTGGTGACCCCTTGATTATCAGCAGCCCAGACTTTATTGTCATCAGTCTGCCTGAACTGTAGCCAACAGCAGGTCAGTGCAGAGACTGGAGGCTAAAGGTAGGAGCTAGAGGCCCCCCTTCCGCACAGGCAGTAGTAGCCATGGAGAATATATGGATATATTGTTAGTTCCATATTCCCTAAAATGGCAGTGTCACTAACTATGACAATCTGGACTCAGTTCAGGCTGGACACAGAGGGATGGCTGGATGACAGACAAAAGCTTACAAGCAGCATTCCTCAGAAATCGGCCAAAGGGTTCCTGCCAAGAAAACCCACTTCATTTATCCCTTCTTACCTGGACAAATAGGGCACCTGGCTCCCTACGAACACACATCGTTATGCATACCAAAGGCCCCGTGCTATATTCCTGGCTCTTCTTTCCTCCCTCAGCCTCTACTATGCTAGCTCCTAGGCTACTTCAGTTTACAGGCTTCCCAAAGGCTCTCTTTATAACCTGAGAGGCCTTTCCCTGCTTTGATTTTTCTCTCTGCTCCTGAAAGATAGCCCTAGCACTAGCCAGTCTGCTCCTCTCTGTTCCTGGGAGATAGCCATGACTATCTACAGGCTCCTCTAGATGCCTCTGACTACTCTCTCTCTCTACCACCAGAGAGAAAGAGCCATGCAGCTTGATATTTATAATAAACCTTTCTTAAGACCCATGGAGCCGTCCAGTTTGGTGGATCTGTGGGAGGATAACTTCCCATTGGCTGGCTGAATCTAGGCGACCCGAACATGAACAAATCTGTGCCTACCCACAATGTAGATCAGCTGCTCTCCTTCACAGATGTATCACATTTTATAACTATGCTTGTTTGCAATAGGCTGCTGCCTTCCGATTATATGCACTACATAGGTTAAGATCAGATCTGTTCTTACCCATGCTTATATTCACAAAGACTACCTGGCACATAGGAGGAGCTAAATATATATTAGATTTAAAAAGGGGATTCAAGAACACTTTCTCTATGCCCCTAATACAGCAACCCGTCATGTGCTCTCATTTTGTTCTCTGTATAATTCCTGGACCTTTGAATACAAGGCCATTGTCTACACCATCACTGCTTACTGAGTCCCTCCCAGGAGACGGCTCTGCCACCTCCATCCCTTTAATGGGTGATCTTCAAATCATAATGTTGTAGGTGGTTTGATCTAGGGTAGCTTACTTTTAAAAGACCTCACTCTCTTTGCTTGGGAAGACCACAGAGGTCTATGTTTAGAGGGTGGGCTTCCCCAGAAGGGTCATACAGTGTCACAGCTGATGGCAGAAGGCATGTCGGGTAAGCCTGGGACTCTTTGCTTTTAGAAAGAGCCCGACAAGCTGGGTGGTGATTGCGCACGCCTTTTATCCCAGCACTCAGGAGGCAGAGGCAGGCTGATCTCTGTGAGTTCAAGGCCAGCCTGGTCTACAGAGCTACACAGAGAAACCCAGCCTCGGATAAATAAAAAAAAAAAAAAAAAAGAAAGAGCCGACAGCCTGACCCATGCAAACTGGTTCATTCATGAATTCTAGATCATTCTGTGAGCTCCGATGATTTAATCCATGATTTATGAGCTAAATATGAACAAAGCCAGACACCATTCCTAATCAAATTCCTCCCCACACTTTAAACCAGTGGCCACATATCTGGTAACAGCAGAAATGGGCCAGGGTTCATGTCGATCTCTAAAATAAATGCTGAGTATTGTACATGTGTCTTTCTGGAACACAGTGATTTTATGTGCTCTGATACAATATACCAAGTAAAGAAAGCATAAGCTTACAGCATGTGGAAGTTTGGGGACATATCTCCAGCCTGTATAAGTAAGCATGTCATTCTTTGTAACTTTACTGCCCAGTGGGAATCTGGTCTGGAGGCAGACAGGGCAAGCCTGGGAAACGGAGGACATTGTTAGCTCTCCCACTAACCCGTGTTCCCACCATGTCTTCAGGAGGAAAGCTCACATAGCTGTGACCACTGGATCCCAGTTTGCTCAGCAGGAGAATCTGCTCACTATCGCCCCCCTCCATTGGAGCACCCCACTAGTACAGCAAGCTTGCTTTTCAGAAGCCATTTTTCTATGAAATTACGGCTGTT